GGTCAGGAGCCTTTATATGAAATGACAACGAGCAATGAGTGTCAATGTTTGAGCAAGTATCACTGCATTGCAAACAAGATCAGTTGGTTTCAGACGCCGGCTATCGTTATAGCCGAACTTAGGGTTTAGGGTGTAGAGTCCAGGGTGTAGTATTTAGGGTTCAAGGTTTGAACTTGACTCTGACTATGGTACCAAAACACCCTAAACCATAAACCCAAAACTTTATTAACTATAGCCCATTCGCCATTATCTAAATTCACGGGCTTAGGGCGCAGGGTTTTGTATTTAGGGTTCAGGGCTTGAACTTGACTTGGTGCTCTAACACTCTGAGCCCAATTTCCATTACTTGAAATTGTCGGGTTTCTAGTTTAGCATTTATTGTGTAAAAGGAAGGATTTCCAGTGAATTCCTATGAATGGTTTCCAGGTTTTGGAGGGGGGTTCCGAATTATGATTACTTGGGGCCATTATTGGAACTCATGCCGTTTTCAAGCGTTTTTTCATTAAATACTGGGCGCGCAAAATGAAAAACCCAAGCCATAGTGCCATTTACCACGATTTGAAATTCTAACGTGTCACCCGCATTTACTGTTTGCAGATTCTGGACAGCCGGCTACCTGACTCACTAACTCACGGGCCGGCCTTCTGCGAGGAGCCTCTGAATGGACTCTGGCTTCTCGACATCTTTGGATGATGGGGACGATGGCATGCTTGCCTGGCTTGCAGCCTGAGCCGACACCAACTGCTTGAGGCGCTCGATTTCCTCATCCTTCTCAGCGGCCACGGCTGAGCGGGCTGCATTTGCCGCCTCGGCTGCCTTCTGGGCTGCCTCCGCAGCCAACTGCTGTTCCTTCTGCTCGGACTCAAGCTTCTGAGCCTCCATCTGCGCCTTCATGTCTTCAGTAGCCTTGGCTGCAGCATCAGCAGCCGCCTTCTCACAGGCAAGCCGGGTTGCCTCCTCTCGGCGTGTATCCTCCGCAGCTTTTAGCTTAGCCTCCTCCTCAGCCTTCAGCCGAGCCTCCTCGTCGGCCTTCAGCTTAGCCTCCTCGTCGGCCTTCAGCTTAGCCTCCTCGTCGGCCTTGAGCTTAGCCTCCTCGTCGGCCTTGAGCTTAGCCTCCTCGTCGGGCTTGAGCTTAGCCGCCTCGTCGGACTTCAGCTTAGCCTCCTCGTCGGCCTTGAGCTTAGCCTCCTCGTCGGCCTTGAGCTTAGCCTCCTCGTCGGCCTTCAGCTTAGCATCCGCCTCGGCCTTCTGCCGATCCTCCTCCTCAGAAGGCTGCTTCTCAGAGTCCACCTTCTCCCACACCTTGGTCTCCTTTTCCTGAAAGTGAGGCCCAAGGCCCTTGCTGATCATGTCCATAAAGCCCTCCTTGCAAGCAGGGCAGTTCGCAACCTCCTCGTTGCCACACTTGCACACAGCAACCTTGCTCTGGACAACGCGAGCCCTGAAGACAAGGAAGCGAGGAGCACTTCCCAACTTGATCACCTGCAAGTAGCCATGTCCACATGCGCTGCATTCAGCGCGTTCTTCGTCGCAATCGCAAACAGCTACACGCTTAGTCTCAGGGTTGCCTGATCCCTCACCTTGCGAACCCACCGTTGCTTGCTTCCCGGCGTCGCCCTTCGTCTTCTCTTCTGGATAGATCTCCGAGCCTTAGTTGATTCGAGTCGAGCGCTGGCGCACGGATAAACATTAGACACCACGTCGAATTTCTGTTATTGAACATTTTTGGTTGTATCAGCTGAGGGCCAGACGCAGTGCGAAGTGCGGCGCCTTTCCTGCCTTGACCATGTCAGTGAAGCCCTCGCCACACTTCTCACAGGTAGCCACCGGGAGCTTGCAGGCGCACACAGCAATCTGTTCAGGCTTCTCGGTCTCACCACTGGAAGCCGTAGCAGGACCTGCAGAAGGATCAAGTCAACGAGTCACACCAAACTATAGTAATGTGGCCTACTGAATTCTGACACTAACGGTAAAGGTATGGGTTACCCTAGCAGTGTAGAGGCGGTCGCCGTAGTAGGAGAGGAGGATGGCTAGCATTATAATCATGATAATAGCACAGTAGCAGTTCTTGTAGTAAAATAAGTTGGGTGCGTGATTACACATGCCAATAATACAATCAGGGTCATACTTGCTGGAAGTCCCACCATGTCGCCGGAGTCTTAACAACCCCAAACCCTCAAAACCGTGTAACTCTAAAGCTGCAAGCCCTACACACCCTAAGCCCCTACGCCTAAAGAGTAAATTCTGAGCCCGAGGAAATGAACGGACATGGGTCCATTCTTCGTACTTTCGCAAGGAATACATTCCGAAGTATACGAAGCTACAAGCCAGGTATACACCACTCGGGGAAGAATCCTATTGCTACTGCTACTGAGAACTTGGTTCACCTTCCCCACTGATGCTGATGATGCTTGAGTACCACTCAGTCCATGATTAGCCCTGGCCACGATGAGAATTCTTCACGGTCACAGCACAAGTCATGAAGTACTGACACACATCATGAGAAGCCCGGCTGCGTCACTGTCACATCTCAGTCTGTCTGCCCTACAATCAGGCTACGACACCTTTCCCATTGCAGGATACCCCCGCCTGCTTCCAGGCCTTTCAGAGTGGCCGTGGGTGGCTGGTGTGCTTTCGGGTCCTCAGCCTCATCCTCGACGGTGTTCAGGTCCAGGTTCACACGGTCGTGAGGCTTCGGCGCCGCGCTCAACGCGCCCGGGCCCTCGTCCTGATACAAAGCCATGCACCAGTGCTTGTCGACCCCGTCCGTCACGTACGGAATGCCGCCTTTGGCAAACCTGATGGCCCAGGGGGCTATTGCCCTTCGACTTCGGAAGCGGCCTGATCACATTCTTGCACTCGATCATGTAGCTCCCGTCGCCTGGACGCATTGGTGTCTGAAATCTCGAGTTTCGATGCTTTTCCGTTATTCAAAGCGATGACGCGTAATGATCTGCATAGCATTGCCGGATAGCGAAAACAGCGTGACCACTGGGTCTGATAAAAGCAGGCACCCTACTTACCTCCACTAGCCTGGCTAAATCTATCTCAGTAATTTTCCAGTCAGAACGCCAGCTTGAGTGTGGAATGGGATTGTAGTAATCAGTAGACTGACTGTGGTGGCCCATGGCCAACGTCGTTCTATTTTTTTACTAAGAATCACTTAAGTAATTGACGTACTTGTTATTATTGTTAATTTTAAGTTGGGCTCTTAATCTAAATTATAACCATTGCGCACGGCTATCACAGTATGGTCAGGAATAGGAGTCTGGGTGGGGACAAAAAACAAACTACCCAGCAAGCTGTAGACTAGGACCTCCTCTGAAACTGCTGCAAAACCGAATTGGTGGTCTGGTTTAAGGTATTGTAGTCTGTGCAACTCAATAATAGCTAGGCCCAACTTTTGCATTGCGTAACGAGTTGCTCATGGACAGCACGTTGAAGGTGCTGTTCTTGCTGAGCTCGATCTCCGTATCCTTCACCGCTTGCGCAAGACTCTTCTGCTCCAAAATGGAGCCCAGGCGGCGGTACTCTTTGGTCAACAGCTCTGCTTGATCAGCTTTGTTGAACCTTAGTCAGGTGAACCCACGCGGCTCAGGCTTTAGGGTTTAGGGTTTAGGGGCGCCCGAATCTTTGCGCTCGGATTGTCGTTAATTTCTTTCACTAGCAAGAAACAATAATGCATTACAGCAAGTGTGTTGGGTAGCTTCAGATGTCGCCCCATTCTAGACTATACTCTGGAAATGTGCTACCTGTTCATGTCCAGTTACGTGTCAAGCGCTGTGCTCATGCTCTTACGGAACATGGCATAGAAAGCCAGGCGGACGGTGGTGCTGCTGAGCGTGTTCAGCATGGAACGGGAGGCCCGGTCGGGCTCGGTAAGGCTCATGAAATCCTTGATATGGTTCTCCTTGGTTTCGCACGTGCAGGAATCCAGGTCCGAACATTAACATAGTTTCAACGTGCTGCCTGAATATACTGCGGCTTCTGCACACGCAAACATGTTGCGACTGATTAATGTAAGGAGACGAGCACTCCCAACTTTGCTTTAACGCTAGCGACTTGACTGACATGATGCTACACCTGGAATAATAAAACATGTGAGTTACGCCGGCTGGAGAATGATTTTGAAGGCTCATGCCAAATGCAGGCGAGTCTCAGGCACTCGGCGCCAGCATGTAAAGCTGCTGGAGAGCATGACCACATCAGCCTTCTTTGACCTTCTCTTAGGATCCGCCTTGGCCTTTTGCTTTCCTGCTCCCGTGGTAGAGGACCGCTCACTCACAAGGTCGTCCGCCTCTGCCGGAGCGCCACTGTCGAACCCATAACCATCTAGCCCGGTGGCGCACAACACCTGAGAGGCCATGCTGGTCCCTGACTATCACCCTTGGCAAGCCCTGCTCGAGAATTGCCCAAGCTGAGGAGCGTCGAGTCAACCACTCACTGCAACTCTGATGTTTGCGCCTTTGCAACCAACAAGCAAAGAAGCAAGTGACCAAGGGTTGCCGATGTCCGTATGCTCTTTTGGCGAGCGGTACCACTGAAAGCATTCTGTGGGTCAGGGCCACTACTTGTTGCAGCGCTTGCCGCACTCACAACCCACGGCAAGCAGCTACACTGACACTTGCATTAGCTCAGACACACATACAGGGAAGGCCGTTCTGTGGCTGTTTCAGCACGAGCCGCCGAAATGCTTTCAGTGCATTGTCCAGCTGCCTGTCTCACTTCTAGTTACAGAAAGTGTCACTGTTCTTTACCGGAGGTACTTCAACAAATGAGGTAGGTCACGAAGCATGGGGGATATAACAGGGCTGGGAGTTGACGCTCAGTAATATTGGGACTCTGTCTGAGTTACAAACCAGACTCAGACAGCAGCAATTCACTGAACGTGAAACTGTATCATCCTACATGTCACGCGGCAGTGTGAATCTCAGGCAAAATTCAATCACATGGGGAGAACCAGCGGCTGATATCAGACGGGGCGAAACACGCCAAGCTTATTAACTGCATGATGCCACAAGTCGTAAAGTGCATCGCGTTCCCACACATGTCTGCAGCCCGGGCAGCGTCAGTTGCGCCGAGCATCGGCACACCATGCTCTCAGCAACTTCTTTGACGCACGGAAATCCCATTGAGCACAGGCGTTCCTTAGAAGTCATCCAGCGCTGCTGCGCCGGCAGCCAGTACTTTCCACTTTTGCTGTTCAAGCGATAGGTTGGTATCTTCTGACTGGAGGCGCTCCAGCTGCAATACGCTGCTGAGTCGCCTAAGAAATACACAAGGTTGTTGTTGCTCATTGGGTGCTGCTGATAAAGATTCATGTACTTGCTGTCCAATCCCTGCTTCGTGCTCAACTCGCCTTTGCCGAGCAGGTACGCAAGATTGGGCTCGTGGCTCAGGAAAGGAATTCCCCGCTGAAGTGAGACTCGCGAAGCCTCCATTTGGATCTCACTGGGGGAAGCCACAAGGAAGTCCGAAACCTGTGCCTGGACATTCGCCCGAAAAGCTGCTGACAAAGTAGACTGTATCTGGAAGGGGTCGTACAAACATGTGGTCCTCTGTCTGTGCGCACCGATCACCCATGTGCGAGATCTAGCAAGCCCACGGAAGCCTACATCGGTGGGCTCACTGAACAACTGGTAGAAGTCGTGGTCAGGGTGCGTGTCCTCGACCATTCCCATGTCTAGCTCCTGAAATCCAGAAAGGCAGGGAAGGAATCCACATGAGTGCACGCAAGCTAGGGGCGCGTGGGCGCGCTACATGACCGACAATTGCTGCCTACGACGCTATTAATAATGCAGCTTAGTTTCGGGAGTGCATTCGATCAACAGAAGTGGTGTCTGCATTTCAGTCGTGTAACGACCATGTGCGATGTACACTTGTGATGTTACCCCTGCCCGTTTCAGCTTCTTACCTGCAGTGCTCATGTCAGGACAAGGTAAGCCTGAGCAATCGAAGTCGGCGCGCTTGCGTATATCACACAAGCGGCCGTGATGGGCACAGGAAGCATAGGGGCAAAGACCAATGTTGTGTGTGCTCTCAAGCTTCTGTGAGTAACCCTCACAGCCCTCAAGCGCATTGCTGGGGAGCATTTGCATGATGTCACTGAAGAGGCACGCGTCCGAAGAACTCTGGGTCAACGATTCGCACCATTTGGCCGTTTCCCGGATGAGGTGCTGGCACGGTTCGTGGTATTCCTTTGCCATTTGCCATGATTAATAATCCAAAATAATACGTATTATTCTACAAACATAACAATCAAATCTATACTTTCCGTCGGGGAGTAGAGTTTGGAGGTCGGGGAATGAATGTCTGCAGCAGGGTGTCCCACATTGCAACTGCTGGAATAGACACCGTGAACGGCACTTTCCCTGACTCATTTATGTCTCGCTGTAACACAGACCTGGCCATCTCTGCTGTGCCGCATCCACTGCAGAAGCTGGTAGCTGACCTCGCGTGCGCCAGCCAGGACGCCTGGGCCGCAGAAGGTCGACAACGAATGGCTTACAAGGACGCGTAAGAAGTCTTGGGTAGCAGCATTGAGGAATTCGGGCTGAGGGTTCTGATTCTGGGACGAGTCAGATGTAGGATTTAAGACTCGGAGGATGATTCAGTTCACTCACTGGATGAACATGTCTTCAATGTGATCAGGCAAATTCTAATCAAAATGGACAGCCGTGAGACCCTCGGGGGTAATGCAATGACAAAGGGGGTGGCAAGCCATACAAGATCTAGGAAGCCAAACCGGTCAACTTGAGGACTGGGCCGCGCTAGCTTATAGGGATTTTGCTTTCTGCCCCAGCAAACAGGAAATAGTAGACACAGTACTGCTGTTGTGTTGTTACCTGGGTGTAAAACCAACCGACGACTTGCCCTGCTGCTACATGAGTGAGGCACAGCATACCATGGTAGGAGCGGCGTTTGCGCTTGTTGTCCGTACTACTAGCTAGCCGGTGGTGGAAGTGGCAGCGGTGGTTGCGCTGCGGCGGTGGTGCCGGAAATGGTGGCGGCAGCAGTGCGAGGGTGCTTAAGCAAAGTTCCTTAACGTGGTGGTGGCGGTGGTGGTGGTGGCGGCGGTGGTGGCGGTGGTGGTGGTGGTGGAGGTGGCGGCGGTGTTCGCGGCGGCGGCGGTTTCAGTGGCGCTGGTGGCAGCAGCAGAGGCGGCAGGGTGGGGGCCGAGGTGGTGCTAGCCATGCAATGGTAGCAGTAGTTGTCATGGCGGTTGTCAAACCAAAGTAATCGTAATAAGTCTTCATCGCCATTGCCAACCATGCAATTGTATTGAGCCCAGTCGTCGTCGTAGTAGTCGTCGTCGTCGTAGTCGTGCTCGTTGGTGTTGGTGGTGTTGTTGTTGTCCTCGTCGTCCCTGTTTCCAAACTATGCGTGTCCAACAGCTGCGTCGCGGTCGTGGCACGAATAGTTAGTGGTGATTGTGGTAGCCGTCGTCAAGAATACAGTAGTAGCCGGTAGCGACAGTAGAAATCAAAAGCAACATTGTACTACTAGTAGTAGTCGTTGTAGTGGCTGCAAAAGCAGCAGGACCCTAAACCCTGAACCCTACTAAAGCCTAAGGCCATGTCACATCAGAACGACAGTGACAGCGATCAAGCCACAAAGCAATCATCGGACTCCAGGGATCAGAATCTCACTAATTAAGCGCAGGGTAACTATGTTTAAAGAAACCAAAATCTAGGACGACTCCTGCCTGCCACACTACACACTTCCCCCTCTTATAAATTGCGCAACGATCATTTTATCCACTACCTACTAGCCTACCGCTGCTGCTGCCGCTGCTAACGAGTGCTACCTTTGCGCCTGCGCATGCGTGGAAATGTACTACTGCTAGTCAGGTCCTCTGCTGCCGCTCTAGCTGGCTGTGTGAGACTAGTTGCTGCCAACGTCTGCGCTGGGAGTGTCTTGGCCACGATGTGCCAGGCGCTTGCTATGCCATTGGCGGCAATCTGCAGCCGGGACCAGCTGTGGTCCTGGCCAATGACAACAATGGAGCTTGGCTTATCTAAAGGCTACGGGTCCTTAATTAGGATTCAACTAACTAGAGGTGGGGGAGTTTCATGTCCCCTCTCCTCACCGAAAGCTGAGCTTTGGGTTGCCGGCAGCGACTCTGATTCAGAGGTTCCGTCGGTGTCCACTAATGACGGAGGGCCATGATCATTGCTAGCAGTGGAGGGCATGGACGCGTCATCCATCATTCAATGGCTCGTCGAAGGCCCTAGAAACCCTGATGGATTGAAGGAACTGAGAATTGCACTGCACGTCAACTATGCGAGGTATTTTTTAGAATCTGGGCTCAGCAAGCTTGAATCGAAGGCAACCTCTCACTGTCACTTGCATTGCACGCTTCGGACATCATGAGGGGCAGGCACAATCACAGAATGTCCTACTACTAGGCAGATGGTGTCAAACTATTCCTGCCAGGGTGCAAAGGGAGGCCCATAGGCCCCGATCTTCCCCAGAGGACCTCCCACGCGCAACCAATCATGAAGACCATTAGTACTCTCAAGTGGGGCATGCGTTGCTTGCTCTCTGAGAGGTGCAGGCGCGGCACTGTGGTAGCGGTAGACCTCAACACCTGTTTTCTGGATTGATGAACCATCGAAGTTCACCTAAATTGCCAGGGCACGCAATCAATTGCACCGCAAGGTGAAGATGCATCGCCGACGCAGGACGGCTAAGTAAGGGACATGCAGCTGCGGGTGCACACGGAATGTATCTTTGGTCTTCGCCAGATAGACAACCTCAATTGGCGCCCCAAAAATTGCGCTGCCAGAGCAAGAACACTAGTCTTGGGTATTTCCATGATAAACTTGAGCAATCCCCTCAACGTGATATTGAACATAAGGATGCGGACCCTGTAACCATGTCCCACATCGCCAAATGAGAGATGTCCGTCTGCACCCTTGCGTTCAGCAGGGATTTCGTGATAGTGTAGAACCTCGGCTTCTTAATATTCAATGCTGCTGGCTGCTTTTGACAAACTTTGACGTAGCTCAGCTCGCTTTACACATCGCGAGGCCCCACTGTCAGCCTAGCTGCAAAGCGGTAGATCCCCGACCCCCTACTCTGTGCATGCTACGCAACTTCCCCTTCCGCACATCATCAAGCACAGCCATCTTCTCTGCAGGAGTCAAGGCGGCTGTCCGCCCTGCAGTGTGGCGCGTTCTAAGAACCTCGTCGCCAAACTGCGCGGCGTTGTCGTCCTAAGCCCGCAAGTCACCCAGCTCTGGGCATGTTGCATTGCACGCTGAGCCTACACAATGACAATCTCTGTGATTGCGACAATGACAAATCAGCAGCGTGACGCAGCGTAAGCACCAGGAATAGAACCGACAAATCCATTCTAGTTGGTATCTTATCTAGGACACGGTGCTAGAAATCTCGCGATCTGGGTGAACACACTGATCGCGTGCTTCTCGAGAATCTTCACCCGGATGTCAGTCCGGTCATGCTTCCTGGAGACAATTTCTGGAGTAGTTACGGTGAGATAGTTTCCCATCTCGTGTCTCGCCAGTTAATGCTACGCTGGTTGTGTACTGCAAACTTCTTGAGTCTAGTGGCGGGTCCATAGCGAAGGCCAGCACTGATGCCAGTGTAGCCGCTGTCTGTGGAGCGTTCACCCAGGGCTTGGACGCGTCCTGGCTGATACAATGGAGTTATAGGAGGGTTGGCTTACAGCAGCCTACATCCTAGACAGACTTGCTCCAACGTAGAATCCCTTCATCCATGAGAACGTTAGTACTACTGACTACTTGTCTTGCTGGGGAGAATAGAGAAGTACAACTACATGGCAGCCAGGGCCAGCGTGCTGGCAAAATCAGAGGCCTAACCATTCTAAGATGTTCCGACCTAGCACTCCTTACTTTGCGACAATACCAGAGCTTCCTAAAACTTAAGCTTACATGGGTTCATGTCATGATCATCACCCGCTTCAATTGCTCAATACCCCTGACTGGACCCCTTCCCATGAGCTACACCCTGAATCCTGAAGATCCATACTCCAGAGGTCGGAGACAAAGCCAATCTCGCCCTGAGCCGCAAACCATTGCACTGGGAAGCCAGTGCCGCGATCGATGGTCAGCTCCAGCTGTGGCAAGCCTACCGGAAACAGCTTGCAAGGATCTAGGTTCCTGCGAAGGGGACCATTGGGCAGGGAGAATTCTTACATTGCCTCAAGTTAGCTTAGATCCCTACGTGGGGATGTCCGGCCTTGCACATACTCCGGGGCCAACAGCAACTTGAATTCACCGGTCCGGGCACAGGCATGGATGATGTTGTCCAAAAGGCGCCACGCTGCCCTACGTTGCTCAAACTGCACCTGAGATGATTTCAATGACCAGCCAATGCCTGATATCAGCATGCTGGTTGGCAGCGTGGCGTCCTGCAGCTCCGATTTTCGTGCCTGAAATGCAGTTGGGAGATACTAGCAGCGGAAACTCGCAGGCTGAAGCTAGCAATCTTCTAGCAGGCTGAAGCTAGCAATCTTCTCACACTCCGACTGCAACAGTTTTAATATGGGCCGGGTAACTGAAGGATCTGGACGAGGGTGTGAGGCAGGCACCATGATTGGGACTTGACGTCCAGGCCAGAACAAATTGTGAACATCCTTGATCGACTTCTGTACTTTGGCAATTTTTTTTTCAGCGCGGCCTTCTCATTAACAGACAGGTTGTCAGCATCACCGCCTCTGAGACATTGAAAGATGCTGAGCGAGTGCCATTGCACTTGCAAGTCTTTGACATCATCGCATGGCAAGAAAAACTCTAGACCGTGCCACGCGCGTGGCTTCTGTAGCTGAGGCATTGAGCCCACTGCTAGGATACCTTCAGATGAAAAGGCACAAGTCTATCTTCCGCTACGCTATTCCAGAAACGCCAGAGATATTGCAGTCCTGCAGACCTAGTCTGCCACGTACTTGACAGGATCTCCTGTCATCCTTTGCATGTCAGAAATCAATGTTGTCAAAATCATACGATTCTCGTCTGGAATTCTCTATTTTCAAGCGACCCAAAACCCCTAGAGTGGTTTAGAGATGTTTAGAGTGGATTAGAGTGGTTTAGAAAGCTTTAGAGTGGCTTAGAGTGGTTTAGATAGCTTTTAGAGTAGACCTTTAAATTCTTCAAAATGCCCCGAGGGAGGTGGGGTACCTTCTGTGGGGAGAGGTAGAGGGTCCCTGATTTAGGGTGGTCGGGTGAGTTCGCGCTAAATTGCCCAGTTTTTATGACTAGAAAAGAATACCGTAAACTCAAGAAAGTTGGAAACAGTTAGTGCGGGAATCCCTATAGCTTACTGTTACAGCATTATGCTACGGATGTTCCAACCTCTTTGGCAGCTACCGTATACCCCCAAAACCTTTTCTGCTAACCCTAACCCTAAATCCTAAAC